AAAAAAAAAAAAAGAGCTGATACTCTTGCTTTCTTGTAGTCATATGCATATTTCCATATTCAAATACCAATTCAGCGTAGATATCAAATCATTCTGACTGTGTTTTGCACTCATCAAAAATATACATGGAGATTGGCTAATAAGGGATTTCTATCAAGAAAGCAAGCTTCTTTGGTTGATGCATGACTGAGATTGAAAATAGAGAAGTAAATAGGTGTGAGCCTATTCTTCATGTACTTGAAGTATTATTATTATTACAATCCGATCTTTTAACTATTTATATCTTTGTTAGCGCTCAGTTTAAAAGAAAAGGCACTGATTTCGTGGTTGATAAGAGATCTGATAATACGACACTTGCTAGATAGTCATCGCATCATGACTATACTTTAGTACACTTTTAGATATATCTGAGTGATATAGTCTTTCCACTTTTATGATATGCCTTGTTGACAACATTAATTTACACTAGATTTTGATAGTGTCTAAAGGAAACTACTGATTATAGTGACCATGAGGTATACTTATTATTTCTTGCTTTCGACTATTCCAACTACGTATGTCTTTTTATTAAAGTCAGCAATTTTCTGTCAGTGAGTGTATGTTTTATTAGATTCTTCAAATATAAATGCCTACAAGATAAAAGAATAAAGAAGCATTACTGCAAGACTTTTTTCTATATTTTTTTATATATTTATGCTTGTGATATATAACTCAGATTATAATAATAACTTCTAAAGTATACTCTATGATCATTTTTTCAGTCCCCTTCCACTCTTGGTGAAAATCTTTTCAAAAAAATGGGGATACTTTTAATAATCAAAAAAGGAAATATTATATAGTCCGACATTCTACCATGTGAGAAACTCTTTAAAACAGGAAGCTTATTTCTAAAGTTATTCTATTCTATTTTATTATGACGGCAAGACAAGGGATGTGCATACATATTATAGTAATAAGCAGGGTACAGCTTGTTAAAAAGAATGAGGGGGAAAATGTAACTGTAACGCAAAATTGTGTGTGACAAGTCCTTTTTTTCCCTTTTCTTTTTTCTTTTTTCGAAAGCTGCCATTGAAATGACGGAATTCATCTCGAACAGGGTCCTATTAGAATATGGACAACATGAGTATATGATTGGCTCATAAAGTCTTTTCATATTATATCCGCTACAATTTTTTACCGCGTGGACCCTATGATAAACAAAAGGGTTTCTCAATGAGAAAATGAAATATTTCTTCATTTAATAATCAACATGCAACTTTTTAAATCTGTTAATAATACAAATCTTGGGTCTTGAGATGTTATTATAAAAGAAAAGTATCAACTTGCCAATAATGCCTTTTTCCTTTTCCTTTCTCTCTCTTTTTAGTCTTGTTCTACAGGGTCTTTTCGGAACCAGTTTGTGTTATGTAAGAAAATGTGTGCACCAATTAAAAAATTTATTTACCCAGGGTGCAGTACTCTATTACATAATGCCCATCTGTGTTGTTTATTCTGTATGAGTCATGTATCAAACAGGCTGTCTTTTATACTATTATTCAATATTATTCTTTATCTCATTATGTATTGATAAATGGATCCTTTTCTTATACATTTAAATGCCATAGTTTATACAACAAGAAGGACAATACTATTTTCTTTTTCTTTATGAAAATAATTCAATCGCCGATTACCCGTGAAATCACCCTCCCCAGACAGAATGAAAAAGTGTGATTGGATCATCTGGACCCTGTCTTTGTTATATAAATTTTGTTTTTTTTTTTAATATTTCTCTTTATTTCCTTTTCCCCCTTTTTTTTAGATAAACATACAAAATGAGATTGATTATTCGTGAAGATTATGAAGAAGTAACAAGCTATGTTGGTAAGTTAACTACCTTAAAACAATAATAGATAACTTACATATTCTCAAGCCAACTACGTGAAGGAACGCATTAATCAATTTAACCCTTCTGCTTCACGTCCTTTCGTACTCGGTTTACCTACTGGTTCTTCGCCTGTGGGTGTCTATAAAAAGTTGGTTGAAATGTATAAGGCAGGCGAAATCAGTTTCAAACATGTCGTTACCTTCAACATGGACGAATACGTCGGACTACCTCGTGATCATCCTGAGTCATATCACTCCTTTATGTGGAAACATCTTTTTATGCATGTTGACATTAATCCTGAAAATGTTCACATCTTGGACGGTAATGCTCCTGATTTAGATGAAGAGTGTAAGAAGTTTGAAGCAGAAATCACTAAAGTGGGCGGTATCGAGCTCTTCTTGGGTGGCATCGGTCCTGATGGTCACATTGCCTTTAACGAACCCGGTTCATCTCTCACTTCCCGTACTCGTGTCAAGACATTGGCCTATGAAACCATTATCGCCAACGCTCGTTTCTTTGACGGTGATGTATCCAAAGTACCTAAACTCGCCTTGACTGTTGGTGTTGCGTAAGTATTTTATGTTAATCAAATATGATAATAGTCTCATTCTATATTCTAGCACTGTTATGGATGCTCGTGAAGTTCTCGTCATCATTACTGGTGCACACAAGGTAAACGACACTCCTATTGCTTTTAACAATATATTTATTCATCATATATATGTATATAGGCTATTGCATTGGCAAACTGTATCGAAGGTGGTGTCAATCACATGTGGACTGTTTCTGCTATTCAAATGCATCCAAAGGGATTGATCGTCTGTGATGAAGATGCCACACTTGAGTTGCATGTCAAGGTAAGATAAGAAAGGCTATATAGAGACTGTCTTTTTAATGTCTCTCGATAGACTGTCAAGTACTTCAAATCTATTGAACACGTGCATCAATCGCTCATTGGACCTGAAAACTTGTCCCTTCAGGGTGGAGTTAAACAGCTCAAAAAGTTCAATTATAGTTCAAGATCTCAAACACCTTTAAATGGTCCTTATGACGAATAAGCTCTTTCTTTCTATGATATGCACATACATTAATATATCCTTCTCATAAAGTGTACATTGTCTATAATTCATAAATAAATAAAAACAAGATTACATAACATTCTAATTTATTTGTGTCCCCTTCGATATGCTGACATAACACATTGCTTTACCTATCTTTTCAGGGTCTCGAATGGTTATACAGTTACATCACTTTTTGTATATGTTACTTTCGTCCCCTCTTCAATTGATCACACACTGTCATGAGATACATGGTTTGATCCTAATACTTAAATAAAGAACTAATGTAAAAGGCGTGTGCTGTTATTAATAGAGACGTATCACCCTCGGTAAGCTGTTAAAGTTGGACGACACATAAAATCAGCTTTTGATACTCAGATTAATAAGGTCGAACCAGGGAAAATGCAAAGGGTGCTAGGTCCAGTCGCACAACTGTTCAAAAGGACAAAAATCATCTCTTGAAGTGAATGGAAATTCCGACAAAGCCTGGTATCAAGCAAATAACTACTGAGTGAATTCTCAGATATATTAGCGGACATATAGTTTTATGAAGATAAAGTAGTTGTTTCTGCAAACTTACCACTATGGAAAATCTACGAACGCATATGGAAGCTCAATGCTGAAAGTTATGATTCCTTTGACAATTTCCTTAGTCGTTTTGAAGACATCTTGGAAGTTGGCCCGATCGACATTGGCGAAAATTGGTCAAGATTGATATCAGTGTTCATGCACCAGCAACACCGATACGCAAAGAAAAGAATGGGACAATCAAAGCCTCCATCAAGTAACGAAGCTAGATACAGTCAACAAATACAGTTATCAAGATCAAATCTACCATCGAAAGCAAAAGCTTTTGTCAACAAGAATGCAAGTAATAACGTCTACTGTGGCTACTACGACTCTTGATATTCTCATGCTTCTGAAAACTGTGAAAAGACAAAGCATTTCTTGTTAGCCCCCGCGATCTTCTTCCTTGGTACACATACACAATAAAATCAATGGATCTACGGCATCAAAATGGAACCCTGAAAACAACTTTTGTAGAAACTACACCGCACAAATGTTCCCTATAACGCCAAGCATTACCAAATTTGCTCTGACGATAAACACAAGAATAGCACCACCTGTACTATCCTCAGTTCAAAGATTATCAAACAAATGGCAAAACCAAATGCTGACAATACTCAAGCAGCATTAAACAACACCGTCTAGCCCAAGCATCTCCGATGAACTCATGAATATAGACGGTCTTCTAGTTCACCACAAACATCTCAAAAGAATGTTGGACAAAATATTAAAATGTTTCACACTTTTTGTTATTATACGGAGTATCAAAAACTGGTTGTATATATTGCCCAACTTTAACAGCTTACCGAGGGTGATACGTCTCTATTAATAACAGCACACGCCTTTTACGTTAGTTCTTTATTTAAGTATTAGGATCAAACCATGTATCTCATGACAGTGTGTGATCAATTGAAGAGGGGACGAAAGTAACATATACAAAAAGTG